TAAAGCCAAATTTTCATGCAAAGAATATAATTTGATTAAAGTTTACAATAAACTACTCGTTATTCAAGTTTAATTATAATCGACGACATTGTTCTACAATTTCCTTGACTGTAGTCATGTTGTGTGTCTGTACCAGAAGAGTGTTTGTAAGTTTACTGTACTGGTCTGCAAAGCAGTGCGACTGGCTTTCTCTTGCCGGACCAGCGCCATTTCCTTTCCCTTTATTCCTGTTCCGTGAATCCAACCTACAGCGTACTCAACTCAACTCTTAAGTAAACCTAGTCTTTTCAACTCCAGTTTCCAACCTACGGCGTACTTCTACTCAACTCCAACCTGTGGCGTACGCTACTCAACTCCAAGTTTCATGTCTCTAAATCTGGTGTTGTATCCTCTGGGGGGAGACTTGCAGGGGATTTTACATAGTAATCTTTCATTTCTTTTCTTTTTTTACAACTACAATAAACTACAATAAAGTTTATTACCTTTAGCTGCTGGCCGTTCAAACTTGTACACATTCTTCTCATTAACCTAGGGGGAAACATGGAGTCAACAACTGATAACTGTACATTGTACAGCAAGAACCAAGAACCAAGTAAGTGTAACGAAAAAAGCATCATGCATCTTAAAATTCTTGTTCTTTCTGTTTACTGCAGGATCAATATGATAATATTATTTTGGCCTTTTAAGCAGGTTTTGACGATTATGCTACTCTTAATCAAGAAATATATAGACCAGGAACTGCCATATCTTACACTGTAAATATACATCAGCAATATCTTTTAAAATTTGTTTCTTAATTTAATTTTTTTAATATGATATTCAAAAATTATGTTTATTTGAAAACTAAAAATATTTTTTCCTTTTATTAAGTTTTTTGTAAAAGATATGTTTTTTCAACAAATGAAAGTTGAACAATTACAAAAATATTGTAAAAACATATTCATTCATTGTTGATTAAAAATTAACTTATTTTGACATTGATTTGTAATTTTTTTTAATAAAAAAAAATTCTATTCTGATATGAAATGAAATAAATCAAAATTTTAGGATAGGG